GGGGGGGGGGGGTGCTGGCAGGAGGGGGGAGGGAGGTTTGCGACCGTCGCGCGGGAATTCCATGAAAATCCAAAGTTCTTCAACGCCGAGCTGTTACGGGTCCCTCCTTCCGTAGCGATTAATTGGCTATTTTCACGGTAGGGGATGATCCCCCCTCCTGGATCCTCTTGGACGAAATTCGCAAGTCGCAGGGGTAGTTTCTTGTCCGCAGGTCCCCAGGAGTATTGTATATCTAACACGTATCTAGGTACCATCCAGAGTCCCGGACAAGAGGCTGAAGGAAAAAGAAAAAAAAATAATTTTCATCCCCCAACGTTGAATTCAATCTTTGCCCAATTGGTACCCCCGCCGCCATCGTACATAGAGTAAAAGACAAGCTCGAGGGTCGATCAGGTTTTTTTTTTCACCATTAGAAATGGCGACCGCAATATCCCACAGATGCGGATAAGGTACATAGGGGGTGTGTCGTGGAAATTTTTGTTTTCTGACATAAAGCACTGGTACGACTGCAATGATAAAAAGTGGGCAAAGAGAGTGGGGAGGGAGGGGGCGAGGGGGGGCCGAACGCGGTTATAAAAGTGCCGAGGGTACACGAAGATGCACGAGCCAAATTCCTGCCGGTGGCAGAGGAACAAAGGCACGGAAAGCGGCTGCATTTAATGGAGTTTAAAACGGAAATTGGGACGAGGGTATATCGTGTATACTGCGGTCCAAAACCATAAAGCCCGTCCGCCGGTACGTACGGACGCGCATAAACACAGGTTAAAGGGGCTCGCGGAAGTAAACCGCGCGTGAACGCGAAAGATGGCGGCTGCAGCGTAGCTGCTGCTGGTAAGAGATTTACGAGTGAGTCGATTTTCTTCGCGAAAATCTGTACGGAGGCTACGTCGACGTTGCGCGTACGTTGAATCGAGACGATATAGGGAGTTACGATTTTACGAATATTTATGTGCTGGAAAAAAAAAAAAAAAAGGGCGACAGACAAAATTGATAACGGAAAATTACAAGCGATACTCCTTATCGAATTCGAGTGACCGACGAGTGGTAAAATTTTTGGGCCTAAAATTTTTATGATTTTCTATACCACCCGTGAGTGCGAGAGAGACGGACTTATGGGCGGTTGCGTGCGTACGAGAAGGACAGACGCATCGATAAGCCAAGTGCCAGGATCATTTTTCTCATCTACGTCTCTACTCTATTCTTCCCTCTCGATGCAAATTAGCCGAGCGTCGGAAGAAATTTTGAGTATTTTTTTTTTTTATATTTCAAGGTACTTTTCAAATTTTAATGAGGAAATTATTTTTTCGGCGTGCATTTTTTTTTTTTTTTATTTTACCTGTCGCACCTCCTGCAGAGCTTGCGCGCTCTTCTAATTCACTGGCGATCAGATCGGATATCACGTGACGACGAGTAGAGACGCTTACGTGGGAGTCTCGACAGGATCGTAGATATATAAATACAGATGCTCCGTGAGAAAACGTAAACGTCAGTGACCTCTTAGATTTTCATCTGCCGAAAGAGTTACAGCCCCTAAGTCGGGGATGATGTAACAGGACGGTCTACGTGAGCGGACTTTTGCGCTGGGACGGTTATCTTATAGAAAGGCGCAGACGTGACGGTCTGTATGTACGAAAGAGAAAGAGAGAGAGAGAGAGAGAGAGAGAGAGAGAGAGAGAGAGAGAGAGAGAGAGAGAGAGAGAGAGAGAAAGACTTACGCAGTCTCGCGAAAAGAAAAGAGGAGAAAAAGAAAAATTTTTCCAAAAGACAAAATCACGACGAGTCAGCCAGCGGGAGAACGAATGTCCCATCTTGATTTGCCGTCAGTTGATATGTGCACTGATTTATGTATAATGGCAAAGTGCGCATGCGCCGAATGGCTGACACTTCGGGATCTCAGAGAAAAAAGGATGGCATGCGCTCAAATTGAAAAGGCGATTGTTAATTTACTATGAAAAAAAAAAAAAAAAAAGGATCTCGATCGATATTAGTCATGATTTGCTTACCTGGTACAGAGAGCGGCTGCCGCCCAGGCCAACAGACACAGCCACGTAGCTCTTGCCTTGGTGCACACGTACCTGATAAAAGAAAAAGTTCAATTAAAGAATAGCAATGGCAATAATAAAAGCAAGGCAATATATATTAAAAGGCGTGTCACTGAGAAATGGTCTTGTTCGCAATGGATGATGGTTAGCGCGGAGCTTTCTCCGTGGACGATTCCCAATGGAAATTTGATGGTACGCCGACGAGTGGGAAAAGAAATAAGTTTGAGTAAGGAGCAAGAGAGAGAGAGAGAGAGAGAGAGAGAGAGAGAGAGAGAGAGGGAAAAAGGACGTATAAAGAAAGAAAAAAGAAACTCATGGAAAACTTACCCAGCTCTGAGGGGTTCGCAAATGGCGTAATATCTCTCGAAGCTTATGGCCAGAATAGTGAGTACCGATGCGTGAGCGACGGTCATTTCGACAAAGGGCACGGCCTTGCCTGAAATCAAATAAAAGAAAAAAAAAAGACTTAAAAAATGAAATAAGAAACAAAGAGAGCCTTACGGTTCCATTTTCAAATGGCGTACAGCGAAAGAAATATCCAGAAGTAAAAATGTTATTACATATGGACAAAGTGTCTACAGAATCGTGTCCGTAGCTACGACCGTACATATAGAATATAAGATAGACATACGTGTACGTGCGTGAAACTCGGGTACCATAAACTGACACGGCACCCTGGACGCCATTATTCTTCGAGAAACGTAGGAGAGACTCCCCAGGACCTAAGGATACGGTCCCTTTCGTTACTCCTGGTAAAGGAATATTCTCTGGCAGTGCCATAAAGCCGTTTTCTAGCCAGCGTCACTATTTTCGTCCCTTCTCCATCCTCTGTCGCACCGACTCACTTTTTGTCTATTTCATTTTTTTTTCGTCTAAACGCCGGCGATAGGTAGCCGAGACGTCTGGCACGATCGGCGTACAGTCGTGTAAATACGTATGTAGCGTCCTCTAATTCAGAGCAATGAATTACCATACAATCGTCCGTTACACGGGAGCAGTTGTCGATAATGAAGTTTGCGGAGTAAACAATGTCCCCGCAGGACGTCGAGCTTATTTGAATATAAATAAGCATCCGCGTATTCTTGCTTCATGGCCCTACAGTTCGTTTCCGATAACTCCCGGCTCTTTGCATACAGACCCACGCCTTCGCTTACCGTGCCACTGTCACGTGCAGACTGTCTGCGAGTACTTTCTGAGAACGTGGCCCAGAACCTTCTGGGTAATCAAGAATTAGCATGAGAATGTCCTCGTTGGCGGTTAGATTGAAATTCATTAATATCGACGTACAGTTCACGAAATGATCACGAGTGTCACTGACAGTAAGAAAATTATCACGTAGCCGTGTTACTTTTGTACTCCGTGACAGTGGTAAGCGCGATAAAATGAATTCTCGATTGAATCCCGCAAGAAACTTATATATCGGAATGACAATACGTCAGGCGCGGAACTGAATTCGGTTAGCGAGGTGGGCGAATAGAAAAGAGCGGCGATCGTGGCGACATCCTACGGCAGAATGACGTAAACAAGGAACTAAGTAATATTCAAATAATGTACCGACGGTAATCTAGACAGAAGGAAAAATGAACTGAGATCCCTCGTGGGTCCTATTGGTCTGGCTTTTTTTTTTCTTGATACCCAAGTCCCTTGATCCTTCGAACGCAGTAAGGATTAGGAGGGGTGAGAGACTGAGGAACGTATAGACAAATGGGCTTAACCTAACGTATCCTACAAATACGAACTGTAACGTTTCACACGTGCGCGTGTATACTATGTGATTTCTAGGCACCCTCGATTCCGTCGACAAAACCCCACGGCAATCCGTCCCTGACTTTTTTTACCAAGAAAATCCGCTTCTTAGGATCGAAGGGGCGACTGGGAGACAAGGCCAACAAATTCTTCGTTTCGGCCGCGCCCGATAATGAAATCGCATTAATTTTACTGACAATTTTTTCGTCGCGCTAAGAAGGGAGCCAATTTTTGCCGAGACCCCGCTCGAAGATGACATCGGATCCGAATGAGAATCTACCGAGGAAAAAGTAAAAATTCTTATATCCTTATCCCTAGAAAATCACGAACATTACACTCGTACCGTTCGAATGGATATTAAAATTATAACTGTAACATGGCGTGAAGAAATAACAGGCCGATAAATCAAAATAAAAAAATAGCTCAAAGCTTTGAGAAAGCTCTGGTGAGAGTCAGCTTAGTATGTATGTATACATCTATACTACATAAATATATGCTCAATGAACTTTCAGATCTACGTAAATACGTAATCCGCATATTTATGCTTGTACAAGGAATGGCGCCGACGTCCCGAGAATCAGTGACGTGGCGAGCCAGCCGTTTAAGGTTATGTTACCTATAAAACACCTGTGAGGAGGCTAAAAGGTGCAGACTGGATATCTCGAGTGGCTCGAATGTCTCAGGGAATTGGAAGCACGCGCCGCGGACTTGACTTGGAATCAAAGAAGAAGTAAACTTGCGAGATGAGAGAAGGAAAAAAAAAGTCTAAAGAAATTCTTGTTCGATTTCATATTATTTGACAGACCGTATTTTCGCAGTTACTGCTGGCTGCTACCACGCCAGGATTCACCCTCAACCTTTCTTGCTCCCATCATATTACATACTGAAGCGTGCGCTAGAAAAGGAGAGACAGAATCAATCATTTCGTAAGTCGGAATTATTAAATTTTTATATAAAAGATGAATGTATGAGCCTACCTTCGTAAAAAATCGACGCCACGAGAGAAGCGTCGGTTACGACTGCTCTGGGTGGGACGCCTTTCCTTATTTTTTCTCGTGGAAAATAAAAGCTCAAAGAAATACGAGAGAGCAACGTGAAGCTGTCGACAGATCGAACGTAGTGCGTAAATCGATATTTATCGATACAAAAGATCTCCATTGCGAGATGGCATACCGGTGCAACGTCCTGGGTCAGAATGACACAGAATAGCTAAGGGACCTGACGTAATCGACCAACTGACAATGACAAATGACAATCCGACCTAATACGGCAGACGAGTTCACCCGTGAGGTCGGGTTACGTCCCTAGTATCGCTCGTACAATTAACGGATTCAATTAAGCAGCCAACTTCATGGGATCGGTCGATCGTCACGAGCTTGAATCTGGAATGAACTTCACACCGTATGTCCACTGTGTATCCCACACGATATACCTGTCACATTTTATGAATCAGATTTATCTTTTCAGGGTCTTTTAGGTATGATACGGTTTGAGGTTAGGTCGGGTCAGGTTAGCAGCCTCAGCAAGTGACTGGAAGGAAGCAACAGGCATGGGGAATACTGAAGAAAACGGTCCTCGACTCACCTTAGCCTTAGCCTAGACTTCAAGCTCAGCCTCGACACTTATTGTATTTCCTGATACGAAGGTTAAAGGGAATTGGATGGATGGAAAAACCGACGCCGACGTCGAAGCAGGCGCCGTCGTCGTCCGGCGGGTCCAGGAGCTACATTAAATGCTCGGACACGTATGGGCTAAGAGCAACGGTAATTCGTAGCAGGGGGTGGCATATATGGGGTTTCACCTACTCGTTTCATTTTATACCCGTCCCCACGTGGAAACGTTAGATACACATATGTGAAACTCCCACTTTTCACCCACCGCCAACGTACCACCCTACCAACCCCCCCACTTCAGTCATCCCACGCATACCAGGTTGGTAGCAAGATATAAACCCTTTCATGATATCCAATTTGATAGAGGAATTTTAATAAAAAATTTTTATTTTTAAAACTCAAAACTGCATGTAAAAATAATTTAATAAAAACAAATGTTGATTCCATAAAATGGTACAAGAATTAAATTATCAAAGGTACCATCTTACAAATCCTCCCCCCCTTCAGTCATCCCACGCATTATAAACCCTTTCATGATATCCAATTTGATAGAGAAATTTTAATAAATAATTTTTATTTTTAAAACTCAAAACTGCATGTAAAAATTAATAGAAACGAATGTTGATTCCAGCAAATGGTACAGGAATAATTAAATTATCAGGGGTACCACCCTACCACCCCCTCCCAGCAATCCCCCCACACACCAGGTACGTAACACAAACGCCAACCCTTTGATGGTAGATCCTATATCCAATTTTATAGAGGAATTTCAATAATATATTTTTTTTTCATGTAAAAAGTCAAAAAGTCTGTAATAATTTGTTTAAAAAATCAACGAGCGTCATAGATCATATATCACAAATTTGATTTTATAAATTCACCGACGTACAAACAAAATAAAATGATCGATCGTTCAAATACGCCTCCCCACTTGGAACATGACAGTATGTGTTCGTTTGGCAATTTTGCCCGGCTAGCTGGTCCCTGCTTAATAACGGGTGGGAATTAATAGCGTCGTAGTGGAGAGACGTCGTCGGCGTCGAGCTATGTACGCCGTCGGTACTTTTGATCAGGGAGATTGAAACGGAATCGTCGGTGATCCGGATCATTTAGGATCGACCCCATATCTGAATCAGGGATCCACTGCCTATATGTATGGATGGTCCGGATGATGGGCCCTATTCTCTATTGAGGCATATCCAATCCCCGTATTGGTCTTGTAAACATATTAATACAATTTTTTTTAGGGGCCCCAAAATCCCTGTCTCTCTTTTAATGGGACAAGGAACACCCTCGTTACGAGTCTCCCCCCTGTCATCATTTCGTCCAGTGATTTAAATAATTTTCACAATTATCGTCATTCTACTGTAACTACGTAATTTGGTTTTTTATTTTTTTTCAAACTTTTTCTGTGGCAGCCACGACCATCGACCTCCCTCCCCAGAAGTACAGCGGGGCTGTAATAAAGTATAACAGAGAGGGTGGAAACGGATAATCGACAAATGCCTTTAGGGGTATTTAAATGTCAAATTTCGCTCGTGAGATGATAGCGTCGAAACGTAAGGGGAGGAAGAAAGTTAAGAGAGCAGTGAGATTAAGGGTTGCAGATAATCGGTTCTCACCGTTACTCACTGGCATTGCTCAGTGCCGTGGGATTCAAGAAGCAGCAGACAAGGACGAGGAACGAGAAGAATGTGACGGAGTAAGAGAGGCAGTATTATGAAAATGTGTCTGGTCGTCCCGAGCACCGCGGCGGCGGCCATTTAACTTTCAAATACAAATTGCCTTTTCTTGGCCCCTTTTTTGCTAGCGGATGACGGCAGGCCGCGAATCATCTCTTCCGCCGTAAAATTGCCTTTTTCATTCTCTTTCTTTCCTCACGGCCTATCTTTGACTGTTTCTCCTGAAAGTGCCAGTAGAAAAAGCATTCCGTTCGTCCCAGTGGTTAGATCGGCGGCCATATTTTTGTTTGTATATTTATTTCCATAGCAACCGCGTCAACCCCCTCCCGCCTGCGTCGTACCATTGCATCGCCACACTTTACTTTCATCACTGTAAAAGTCCTACGAGAAACAGA